GCTCTCATGTGTGTGATTTGGTTCAATCTGTTCTGCTTGATAGAATATGAAACAAACTTGTTTAACATTTAAAATCGTCATGCTGCGTAGTTATAGATACAGCAAGCTACAAGTTTGAGCAGACAAGTATTTATGTTGCTTCAGCTTTTTACACAGGATAAAATGAAATATGGTACTTTTGGCAGTACAAATACTGCCAAAAGTACCTACACAGATTGAAACTGTAACACATACAGTTTTAATCTGTTTAGTGCAAGTCACATGAGTTACTTTCCCAGTAGCAACCTTCCCCATGTCAAAGTTTGATGTCTTTTGGTCTCAGTTATTCAAAATCTTATTTATTTTTATAACTAGTTTTTGTCTCAAAAAATCTATAACGACAAATAATAAATGTTAGTTTTGACACCCATGTTGCACATTTTCTTCAACAGATAAACTGTGGCAGCTTGACTTATCTTGATATCAAACTAGATAAATTACAATATCAGGTACATAGACTGGTTATGGTGGAGCATTTTTAAAGCCACATGGTGTTATGGGGATTTCAGCAGATGTACCAAATTAAAAAAGTACTTAGGCATGCCACTATTGTGACTGTACCAATCATTGAGTCTAGGAGGACACATACGGTTTTCACGGCTGGATCTGAGTAGTATAGTTATGTACCATTGTACATAGTGTCCAGACACCATCTTAGTCAGTACACCGTTCTGTACGCTGCCATCAAAGTAACTCTGACGTAGTTAGGTGTTTGAAAATGTTCCAATCAAGTGAAAAAAGAACAAACCTAGACTTTGAAAACGATGCTGATTGAACTCGGCAAATTATGTATTTTGTGAGATAATCGTAGCTCAAATCGTACCTCAGATTTTGTAACTGCAGACTTTTTTTATGTTCAAAAAGACATTGAACAAATCAACTTCAGTAGAACAAGTTGGGATGATAAAAATTGCACTTATAATGTCTTATCTCCTCTTTAAACAGAGAAACTGAGCAAATGTTTGTGAAAACCATCATGGAATTTGCTTTGCACATTATCCTCCTGCATGAAGCTGCACCAGAAGCCGGAAATAATCAGACACATTTTAGGGAAAAGCAAAGAGAGACTTAGCCACTGAGTTTAATCGTTTTTACAGCCACAGTCCATATCTATTTAAGTTTACACTTGTAAGAACAAATTTATAGAGTACAGTAAACCTAAATAACCTATTTTAACCTGAAAATAGTACAAAAGTTTCCTAGAGGCATACTAAAAATGTGCAGTAATTGTGAAACTAGAAAATATGGGCAAGAAAGCAGACTTTGTGATTGTGCCACCAATCTTAGCACCCACAGCAGGCGGCATTGTGAAGTCCCATCAAGTAGCAAGCACCCACTTAAAAATAGTGGCACAGTAGTAATACAGTTTTACAAATTTCACAGCAGCAAAGACATGTTCACCTTTCACAGTGCACAGGTGAATTGATTACAATTGACCACAGATTTTAAAGGTCTTTATAAATGGGCTGCACGCAACTGTTCTGCAATTTTCGCCACACGTCAGGCGGAGCCGTTAGAATGTAAAGAACCGATTCTGTGAACAGGTTTGGTTTGTATTGGAAGTTTCAGTATCGACTGATTGTAATCTGTGTGGCACAAGTACAAAGACTATTTTACCGGTCAGTTAGAGCCATAATTCTTGCTTGTCTGTATGTATCCATTATTTTACACAGTGAAATGCAAATGTTACACATTGCAGTTTTTCGTGATTGTTGTTCAATATCTTTTCTTTACACAATAGAATAAGCTGCTGTTAAAAATGCAGATAGTTCTTCTCGTTCGCTGAGAGGAAATTTCAAAATCCACAAATATCAAACAATTTTTTTTTTCCCCGAATTCTACATTTTTATTTCTTTCCCAGCAAATGGGGAAAATCTTTCATCCATTCATTCATCCATCCATTAACCAGCTTATCCATGTTGAGTCTCAAAGAAGGGCGATTAGGCATGCCATTGGGCAAGGGATAGGAAGCTGCATCATACTATTGCACTATTGGCAGTAGTTCGGTAGTCATGATAACTTTCATAAGGAGAATAAGCCACAGAAGGTCATTGCTGAAGAAACTGGACTAAGGTCTCATGCCAGGCTTCATTGACCCAGTAAGTCTTTTAAGTTAATCCAAGAGAAACTGAGTAAAAACAAAAAAGCTGTTTTCAAATGATTACATTCCTTATGAGGAATGTAATCATTCCTCATATGAGGGGTTTAAAGCCACCCAAACCAGCCTGGCCCTGAGCTATAAAAACGTGATTGACCTCTATGTCTAATAATCTCCTCAAGAGCTTGCAGTTCAGAATTTTAAACGTGAGAAGTTGTTACTGGTAATAGGTTCATAGAAGTAGAAATAGGTCATTTCAATCATTCACTTGTTCAATTTCAATTATATGCCCAAACTGATATAAAGCTAATCAAACATAAATTGTTTTAGTTCCTGTCATCAGCTTTTTTGGGGGGATTCACTGATTATACGTCAGGATCAGTTTCAATCAATTGTATTTTGCTAATATTTATATAATATTAGTTTAACCAAACTGTTCAATAAACAATTCAAATGATCCTATTCCATACTATACACCCCAAGACACAAGCAGAAAAACTGTCCTTTGTTGTGACTATTTTTTGTTTTTGTGAGCCACTTATTTGGGCCTCAGCTGCACAAGGTCCACATTGAGACTCTTACAGCTGCCAAAATGAAAAAAAAAAAACAGAAATATTGAGTATCACTGCTAATCTCCAGCCTCTCCCACAATGATCAGAGGGAAAATTGGTTGTTGGGAATCAAACCGTGTTTGTGCGAACATTAATAGTAGTCTACAAGAGGAAGTGGGTCACACTGTCTCTGGGGAACCAATCTGGTAGCTTGAACCTTCTTTCCAACACACACGTTTAATAATGGATTGTAAAAATTTGAAAGGGTGCACTTGTTACAATTTAATAAGGGGGAAATAGTAAAATGAACAAAACGTGTGGACATGCACTGCATGTCGTCTATCAAGTCCATCAGTACAAGTATTTCCATTCATTTTTAATAGAGTAATTTAGATATATTTCATGGTGGTTTTAGATGCAGAATATCTTTACAATTAGCTTAAATTGTGTGCAGACCAAACGTCTCTTAAGTTAGGTAAGTTAGAATTATATAAAGCATTTCTATTTATTAAATAATGACAGAGATTATGTCAGGGACCTATTAATGTCTTCAAAATTAGAAGATCTAATCTCATCTTTGAAGGATTCTCCCCACAGACCCGTGACGTTCCAAGTTAAGGTCAGCAGCTCACCATTCCACCCATAAACAGTGCTGGTGGCGCACCACTTCCCTTTCTTCACCCGAGGGCTTAAGACATGCTTCTGCAGCTCAGACGACAACAAAGTTGACCATCAAACTACGACTTAAGATGTCCTGGTCCCAAGAGCACAGATGGACACCCTTTTTGCTTGAACATCGTGTTTGCTATGAAGACTCCATAATGAGCACAGAAGTTCAATAACGAAACAACACTCGGGTTCATATCAAAGGGGCCATTCGTCCCAACCAAAAAAAGGGTGGATAATCTGAACTACTGTTAAGACAACACAAACAGAATTTAATACAGGAATGCTGGCTTAATGAAAGGTATGTTTAATACCTGCTTATTTTAAGGTACTTTTTTTATCTGGGAAAAGAGTCTCATTGGAAAACATTCTTATCAATTTAATGTGATTTTAAGGGGAAGGGGGGGGGGGGTTTACCAGACACTTAATGCCATTTTATAGAACAATCAAGTTATTGTTAACTTCAGTTGTTATAAATCAAATATCAAATACGACTCATAAGAAATTTGACTTAGTAATTTAACACCTTTGAATTAAATGTCTGTCTCTTTAAAAATTCCCACTTATTCTGAAACTCTGCCTTCAGACAGTCATCACAACATTGTTCCATGTTTTTGCTAGCTTTACACTTACAAGTAGCTCATGTAATGAGCTCAGCAGAGTTCCACCAGATGTTTGCTAATTGCTGCTGGGCAGTCTGAAGGAGTTGAGCGGGGCAGTTGATGTGGAAGTTCAGTATCTTGCAAACTGTGCAGCTCTGAAGAAGAGCTGCGACTCAAAGGCAGCGTTCAGTCCACCCAGGCGTTTTGCACAGCTTAATGGTTGCCAAAGGAGACTAAAGGATTTATCAAACATGCATGAAACTCCAGATATGTTTTCGATAAGGGAATAACATTATATCAAGATGTAAAGCTTTACATAATATTGCCTCTTTAAAAGAAAAAGTAGGATTTTATTTATATTGAGAGCCCCATTATGGTTTTATGTCAAGCAGCACCCCTGGTTTGTACAAAGGATTTAAAATGAATCCTCAAGGTTTACATTGCTGATCTTAGTGCTGGGAGTTGTGATTGATAATGGGTGGGGCTGCTTCTCTCTCTCTCTTTCTCCCTTTTCCAGTCTGGCCGAGTGAACAGCAAATAAAACCAGCAGTTCTATCCAGCCAATGTGAAGGAAAGGGATGCTCACACACTCAGATCTAAAGTGCTTTAAATCCAGTGGATCTAAAGGATCTGAGCAACAAGTTTACAGCTTAAACTTCTGAATTGCTAGTTAATTTGGAGCATGCAAAAACTGTTGGTGTATGTTATTTATTTTATTTTATTTATTTATTTTTACTTTTTACATCAGAAAATCAGGGGTTGCCCTCCTTTCTTAAACTGACCATCGATTAAAAAAAAAAGAAATTAAAGTGTTATTCTGTGATTCAATTTAAAATCAGGTAGAATACGTGTGATCTGTTTAAATGTTACATCCCTCTCATTATAGTGCAACGCAGCTGTTGAAAGAAATAATAATACTAAAAAAAAGCTTCACTCTTGTTAAAACATCTTCTCAAATAGCTCCACGAACTCACTATATAATGACATAATACAGCCTTGATTCTGAGTAACTACAGTGAAAGGCTTTGTGTCACAGAGTCTGACCTGAGTCCGTGTAGCGCGGTCTGGCGAGGTCCCTGAAGTAGTAGATGAAATCCAGACAGTTGTCGTCCTGCACCTCTCCCTTTGAACACAGGTCGGAGAGCAGTTCCAGCGCCTTTCGACAAATCTCATCCTCTCTTTCTGCAGGCATTGCCTTCCAGCATCCTTCTGACTGCTCCGGCTGATCCTCTTTGCCCCGCACACGAACACGCACCCACTCGGCCAAAGCGATCGCTCCGTCTCACAAAAGCATCCACCGGCGTAAATACGCACGACAGAAAAAGAGAAAGATCGCCAAGTAGTTCCTGCGCGCTCGGCGCATTCGCGAAATCTGCTGGAAGTCGATTTTATCCAAAGTTGAAGTGAGTTTGAAGGGGACGGGAGACGCGCAAGGTTTAGGGTGAGATTTAAGAAGTTTTCATCTATTAAAAAAAAAAAAAAAAAAAAAAAAAAAAAAAACCCGGTTTTTTTACTTTCACTAGGTTTTGCTTTTATCCCCCCTCTTTTCCCTCTTATTTTTTT